CCAGATTTTTTCCAGATTTCCCCCCTTTTCCGATTAAAGAACTGTAATTCGTCTATTAATGTCACATGACATATCTCATGATCTCTCATTTCCCTCACACAAAATAATGCGTAATCGGAACTGAGTACTTCTCACATTATTACCAAAGTCTTAGGTAGTAACCTTTATCGCCTCCAAAATGTCGCCAAACTACCAGTTACCATATTTCAAAGATCAGCCATTTTCATGCCTAATAAAGCATCAGATATGTAATTTTAATGCAATGCTGTGAGAATTTAAATTCCTGTATAATAATAAAAAAAAAAAAATTCTTAAAAGCTAATTTTAGGTTTCTTCGACACAAGGAATTTATTTATTTACCTTATGAAACACAGTGCAGTATATAAAAAAACGAAATCTTTACATTTTTCATTTATTTTCATGCCTAATAAAGAATCAAATATGTAATGCTAGTCTATTTCAATTATTAGCTGCTGCATTTTAAATTATTTTTATAGGTTATGTTAAAAACATACGGGCACTAAAAGAAAATTTCTTTAAACAATATTCACGGACAGTTATAATTTTGGCACAGACTGACTGCCTTGTCATATTTGTCCCTATGCATAATACAAAAATTAAGAATTTTATTGTTAATTGCATATTAAACATTAGAATTCAGGCAGAAATGTTACAAGTTTGCTCAAAAGAGAAACATAAAATTATGGTTGTCGACAAACCATGTTATTCATTTTCATTGTCAGTTGAAAGTTAAGCACTGAACTTTAAAGCATTTTGCTTGAACATTTTTTTTCTTTCAAAGTATCAAATACATGAAAATACATACACATGAATGGTATATTTACACAATTCATGAAAAATTAAAAAGTTTTAAAATATGTCAATATTGTGATATGAAATTCATGGCATAACATGGATTTGCTGTTTCTAGCCTTATAAGCAAATGATTCAATATTATAAAAAATTTATCCACAAGTTAACATCAGTATAAATTGGAAATCATTATTAATTATATTACACACGCCTAAACAATTCCATTTATGATAAAATGTTTATTTTAACTTTCACCAATAAAATGAATCTGATTTGGCAAAAGATTTTTTATTCACTTCAGTCAATAAAGAATGGTACAATATAAAGAAATTTACACAATATTATATATTTCATATCATAACAGGGGTTTTCTTATATAAACAATTGACTCTATTATAGAAAGGTTACACTGAATGTAAAAAATATGAGTTTTCACCATCACTGAAATTAAAGTATTGCTTGAAAATTCAAGATATGGATAAATACATATTCATGCACATAAAACATGTTTATTTATACAATTCATAAAAAAATGAATAAGTAAAAATTACTTTTATACATAAAGCTTTTTAGAAATTCATATTTTTTTAACTTTTTATAAAAACCTATGTTACATTAGGAAAAATGAATGGTACTTACGTATTATCGCAACCAGGTTGGCGCTATTTGTAAGTTTGAGTAAAAAAGTATAAATAGAAAGAAAATGTACATTTATTAATTACAGATAATTTTTAATACAGTTTTTTATATTATTTTGTTTTAAAATATAAAATAGCAATTAACCCTTTGCGACACGCATATTTAAAATATATTTTAATCTTTAAAAAAATACCTTAGAATAAGTCAGATGGACTTACTTAAGTGCCTTTAAGGCTTGAAAAAAATTCTGCGCTTTTATTTTTTACGGTGGAAGGTGGGATACCGTTTGTCCCACCATGCAACTAGCACATGTCTACTGGTGTATAGCAGGAAAAAAAATTATATGTGGAATGAATAAACAAAATAAAGTGTGCATTCTAAAATATTCATAATAAACACACTAAAATGCATTTTGTACTTATTGCATATATGCATGACTTGTAAAATTTTGCATATGCACATTTTGCATGTAGTATATATTTAATATTTTTAAATTTTAGGAACAAAAGAAAATATTTTCTTGAATATTATTTTAAGATTAAAATTTGATACTCGTACATATGATACTAAATAAAAATTAAAATTGGCACTTGATTCAAAAAAACATTTATATGACTAAAATTGAAAAAAAGTCACTTTCATGAAACTTTGAAAAACATGTTGTTTCATTCTTTTGTAAGCATAGAGGCACTTCACATGTTTCACACATGCAAAATGTTCATCATTCTTCTTTCGATATGCTGCAATATGCATATCTTCTCCTGCTCGTTCTCTTTGGCATTTTACTTACATTTTTTAGTGTCTTTTCTGGTTGTACGAACGGGTTTTTAGTTTTATTTGAACTGGGGATTTCAGTTTTCTTTTCAGCTCTTTCTTGCCTGCAAATGCCATTAGACCTTCTGTAACTGAGAGAAGAAAATCTTTCATTGTTTTTACATCATGATCAGGTTCGCGAACAAACTTGAATAAATGTGTTTACTATACTCGCATCTAAAAAGTAAAAAAAAAATCATGTGCCACCATTTCTTGGTTTTGCGGTCTATTTCATATAGTCCTTTCAGTTGATCAATCAGTCGACATATCCCATATTCTTATTGTATGAAATAATGCTGTTTGGGCACAGCACTTTTTTTTTTGTCTTTCCATCTCGTTCCTTTCTATTAATTCTTCATTTCAGTGCCTTTCCAAGCAAGACAGAATAGAAACGGATTTCTTTTATCCTTCCAATTTTCTGCAATAAATTGAATAATTCGCTAAATGAAAAGTCTATATTTCCTCTCGATATAAATTTGTCTTCTTTTAAATTTTTGGGTAGATACTTCCGACCCATATTTACAGTGCCACATGCATAGATGGGTTCTGTGTCTTTAAAAAAGCGAAACAAATTATGACTACTTCCCTTTCTTCTTCAGCAATAACTTCAACCTCAGTTATTCTCTCCTGGATTTCAATTTCATCTGAATCAGAACTGACATCTGAAGCATTTGAGTCGCAATCAGAATCTGAAGCATTTGAGTGCAATTCAGCAAAAAGATCCAAAGCTTCCTGAGTTGTTAATTTTTTCCTAGACATTTTAGCACATCAGAGCATACAACGAATGTAAAAGCGCGCGCAATCACGAAAAAAGTAGATGCAAAAAAGAAAAGAAAAAATAATCGTGAGTGCTGCCATCTATTGAGCGGAAATTCAAGTGTGTGGTGGGACAAATTTTAACCCACTTATTTCAACTGCAAAATTAATGTTATAAAATATTGAATACAATTAAGATTTTTGAAAATAAAGTACTTTTGAATATAAAAAGTATCATACATATCATAAATTGTATACCAAAAATTTTAAAATATTGAAAAATGCGAGATACAGGGATATCACTCTTGTGATCCTATTTGAATATTTTTGCTTATAAACTTAAGCCCTGGTATAGTAGTAACATCTACTAAGAAAAATAATAACTAAAATAGATTATTTTTAAAAGATTAGAAAATTTCTAACGGAAATTGCTAACTGAGAAAATAAATATTAATTAGGTGGGACATATATTGAATCTTAATCCGAAAAAATCTTAATGTCTCTACAACACCTGCGAATAGTGTTATCAATCATATGATCTTTTTTTTGGGGGGGGGGGTGCCAAACTATTCATCTAGAAATTTTCAGTTCTATCTATCATTGTACAGTCTTAATGTAGAGTTATTAGGATATTTTCAAGCAGGAGACGGGAAAAATAAGCACTGCTCTCACCGGGAACTCGAATCTGGACTTCTCAATGCGCCGACTGTGCTAACTGTTACACCACAAAGGCATGCTGCGAGGAGGGAGAAAATACAAATGATTCATTAGGTTGTAAGATTCTGTAAATAATCAAGAATATGTGATCGATGACTCACACATTCTTAATATTCAAGTAATGAAAAAAAAGTCTTAAACTTCAAAATTTGTGCATGGAAACTTGCTTGTGATACGTAGCAAAAATATATGCTCTATTTTGAAAATGTGAAGTTACAGTAGAGAAAAGCTTTTGTTTTAGTAAAAGCAAAGTGTTTATAAATTTTTACTATGCAACACATATGTCAAAGACAAGCATGATTGATATGCACTAAGCATCCTATGATTCTAAGCCTGCAGAGTATCCTATGATGGTATTGACAGTTCAAGAACACTGGCTACTTATATAAAGGCAAGAACCCCAGATGGCCAGTCATTTCCAATGAAACAGTGCAAAAATTTAGTTTCACATATAAATTAGTAACTGAGCTATAGGAAACTTGCATTAGCCCCTTATTAAATTTATATCTAAGCTATGATAGATACAACTTATTCTTTTTGTTTAGACTCAGAAAATGCTGCTGCTGAATCTACACATGCATATATAATGAATGGTTAACATTCATACCTATTTTTTTAAAATATTTGAAGAAACATTTAATTGCAGTTTGCTTCACACATTAATAGCTGGTAGTAAGAAATAAAATATTTCTTGATACATTATATGCATTTTATCACCAATCAATGAATTAACCCTCCAAAATCAATGAGATTAACCTGAGACTGGTAATGGTAAACGTATTGAAATATTTAAAAATTGATATTTTGTGATTTATTGGTAAAAGATATTACGTTTTTCTCATTCATATACAATTATTAGTATTTTCTGTTTTTGTAAAAAAATATAACAGTTCATTAGAATTGCATAAGTTGTTTATATAGAATAAAATGCAAACTCTTTGTCAAGTTTTTCATAGCTCACCACTGCATGTAATCCAAAAAAGGTCTACAAATTACATTAGTAGCAAATATGTATTCTATAACCAAACATACGGAAGATTTTGCAATGTTGATTACAACTAAAACCATATTATTTACAGATGCTGCAATATAAATTTTGTAATCATATGCATGGAAGACAATTCTTCCACTCAGCTAATATCTAGTGGTGAAGCATTTGTTGGATAGGTACGTTTGTATACTGGACATGGAAAATTGTCATGCTGATACTGAATAGAAATTATATCTACTTAAACATTTTAAATAGACAGTCATTTCACTGATAAACGTATATGGGTCCTCTTTTTCTACAGAAACACTGTAAAAGGTATGTCAGATTTTAATACATTATGGTTGTTGTTATTTCTCCAAATGAAATATGATTCAGAAAAATATACGTTTCCTCTCTGATCTCTGACAAAATGTTGTTGTATTACCTAATAATAAATTTCTATCTTTTTTTGGATTGATCAATATCAGAAGATGACTCAATGTTGTTCAGATGACCATGAGATCATTGACCATACACTCCGTAATCTTTTGCTTTTGGAATGTGCTTTAGACTATATTTATATGCTCCTATTGCTAATAATATCAAAACTCCAAGACTGCATTATAGCTCCTTTGATGACCATCAGCAGGGAAATTTTACTATGTTTGTGAATAGAATTGTGATACCCGGTCGATATGTGTCCTGTACCAACAGGAACACACAATGACCTTTATGGTATTATGTCAAATTTGATGAACTTTTATTTCATTTCATGTAGTAATCATTTTTTATCTGTAATATGTTACAGAATAAAACATTTTAAAACTTACAAATCATGTAATATCTGTATATTTATTAATTTCATTGTACTATAGCTCACTGTATGACTCCCTCTTGAATTTTTGTAGTAATTTAATTGATTTGATTAAAAAAACTGCACCAAATCACAAGGCAAAAATAAAATCCAAATATTGTAATCTGTTTTAGCAGAGTGAATGTACCAAGAAAACAGATAATTCACCCATTTAAAATTTTTCATTCAACTCATTTAAGAAATGAAATACGCTCTTAAGTTTGTGTACGATAATTTTAATATTCAATCCTCATACCTTACCTGATTTCACAAAGTAGTTTCAATCTGAAGTATACATGACTAATCATAATTTATCAACAATTCATATAAAAGAAAAAAAAAAAATAGCAAATTATGTATCATATTAAATACATTTAGTGCAACTTTTTTGAGTGATTTGACATCTCGTGTAATTACTCATCCGTTTCCAATTCATCAGATCTGTTTTACTTTTCGTTTCGGAACCAGACAGAAAATTTCATTTTTGACCACCAGCATAACAGCAAATTTCATTTGTTTGACCATTTGCAACCACCAAGAAATCAAGTTATTTATCTGAACATGATCAACCATTGACTACTTTTTGAAAATAAAATAAATAAATAAAAAACTGAAAGCTTTCAGATTTTATATTATGCCCTGAGGTTTTTTTTTTTTTTTTTTTAACATTTTGTGTTATCTTTATTTATTAAATATCATGTTCTTCACACTTAAATCATAAAATTCAATTCAACAGCAATATCACAAATATTTAAAAGAGCATGTCTTTCGAATTCCCAGTACACAGTCTCGCACATTGGAGATAAAAATGTTCCCTCCTCCCATACAGAGTTGCTATTGCTCACTTTGAAATCATTGAGTTTCTTAATCAAAGACTTATAAATGCGTTACAAGATATGAAATAGATAATAAAACAAATTCCAAATTAGGGCTTCCAGATGCCCATATTCTAATGGAGACATACATTATTCAAAATTTGATGGCCCTAAACACAGTTGTTTTATCACAACGTGAGAAACATACATACATTTATGCAGATTCTTCATTATTTAACTTCTTTAAATATAATACTCTAATATTTGGTAGCAACAATTGAAAAAGTGATTCACCATTTATAATGAATCAACGCAAAATGCCAAAACAAAATTAATAGCCCTTCTGGGCAAATTGCCCCTTTGAGCTAAAAAGATTATCTTTAAGAAAGCTGAAAATAAAAAAGCAGGAAAAAAAAGATTGGCCCACTTTGAGAACAGCACATGACACTTTAGGAGACATTAATTTTTCCTCCCAAAGACCCATCCTTTAAGGAGTTGGGAAAAAAAAAAAAAAAAAAAAGAGGAGGAAAAAATATTTAAAATAGAAAGCAGATATAAAAATGTCAAATTAAGCATAGCAATGCATATCATAAAGATGAGGTAAATAAAGGTACAGTGAGGACTATACATGCTCTTAATAGAAAAGAAAATAATTATTGATAAAATATTGTAAGCAAAAGCTACAATATCATTTCATCAGAAGTACAGGCAATTATATAAAGCATCGGTTAGAGTAGACTGAAGGGTACCCTTTGTATTATTGCGAAGATGTTTCATTTATTGCCAAGTTGTTGTTTCATTTATGTTGATTGTTGAGTAGTTGAATGTTCTGTACATCCGTAAATATACTCAGACAGTAAATAAAGTCAAGGGAGTGAACAATGCCAAGTTTCTGCAATTATCTGGTGATTTTTTAAAGTGAAAATAGGTCAACGTGTACATGGATAAAGTCAAGGGAGAGCACAATGCCTAGTTTGTGCAATTCTGTGATGTTTTTTTCCATTAACAAATGTATTTGTTATACCAATGTTTTATTATAACTCTCTTGTTCTGATCATAATTTGTAATTTTTCGTGTCGCATTTATGTAGGTCAATGTGCACAAACTCGGTATCCATGTGCCGCCAAAAATCACCAATGGGTACTCGTAAATATACTTTTACCAAAACATCACTGTGCAAGTAGTAATACTTTATTGATTATGCCAAAGCATTCAACTAGTTGATTTATACATGTATAATGGAGAGAAAATTTATGTGAAGAGGTCCTTTGCGAATGATTAGCATACTTGATATAAAATAAAATAATGGCTGATAATAGAACATCACTAATAGCACATTTCCTTAGATAACCACTCCCATAATACAAATCTATTTAAGTAAGAGGTTATTCTCTTTGGAAAGTTCGATTGCATTTTCTACAAAAAAAGCACACACTGTTTTGCATATCATTACATTCGTCCATATCTGTGTTGATAGCAAAAACTGAATCATAATATTAAATGATGAGAAATATGCCCAAGGAAATTGCAATACAGTTTAACTAAATAAATGGTTGTATAATAGAAATATAAAATTGCATGTTTCCACAGGACTTTATTAAGAAATAAGAGCTAAAAATTCAATAATAGTGGAGAGCATGCAGTTGTCATGAAAAATTTCATTCATACACAGTTTATGAGCACTGGGTGAGACAGTTTTGAGAAATAATAAGTAAGAAAGTTTTCTCATCATCATATTCAAAGACATTTTTTTCATATTTTGTACTTGGATCTGTTTGGGAAAGTGACTGATTTTGCCATCAGTAAAAGTTATCCTGCTTAAAACAGTTTATTATTGTGTTTTCTGAAACATGGTTTCAAAATATGTATTTAGAAGATGCAGAAAATACACCAAGGAGGTTAGTCCTTATTAATTCATTTGCACTTTCATCCAAATTTTCCACATTATGAAGAATACAGCTCACCTCACGAAGATCATATTCTTTCATCGCTCTATAAAAATTCCTTAATCGCAAACTGGAATAACAGATATCATGTTTTCTGCAAGGAATAAAATTCCAAATTTTCCTCATTATGAAGAATACAGCTCACCTCACGAAGATCATATTCTTTCATTGCTCTATAATAATTCTCTGATCACAAACTTGAATAATAGATATCATGTTTTCTGCAAGGAATAAAACTTCGGCATACTTTATGAAGTATGTTTTGTGACATGCAGTTGTGAATCAGATCAAAGGTAAAATTCTTTTCATCTTACAGTTTCTAAATTCATTCATTAAAAATTTCTGTCATCATCTACACCATACGTTATTTTTTCATAATTTCAAATTCATCAAGGAAAAAAATCAAATACATTGCAACATTTTGCTCACATTAAATGACATAATAATTACAACAAACGATGAGTCAATTTCCCATGTTTCTGCACAAGTGCCGATGGAACATTGACATTTTGATACACTTAAAAACTCGCAAAACATTAGAATAAATTTTTATTTCAGAGGCAGAAACAATTTAAAAAATTATCACATCTGAAATTTAGTGTCATTCACTTCACAAATGATGTTAAATTATGCGAAAGCACAGTCATTTTACGATTAACTAAATTATCAACAGAAAAAATGCGTTCAAAATTCAGTATTAAATAGTATTTTTAATAGTATTTTTATAATTAAACAGTTTCAGTGCTTTCGTAAGAAAAAAAAAAAAAAAAAAACTCAGTTTTGTATCTGATGTTAATAGTTTTAAATCAATATGCACAAAATTTATTCATACCACTAAAAAAATTATATGAAGTGCTAACAGAGATATTAAAAATTGAAATTGTTTTGTTCTTTTATTTATAATACGTTTAGCAGAAAATAAATGTTAATTCAAAGAAAACTGCAATGGAAGTTCTCACATGTCCTATCAAACTTTTGTCAGTGATTTTAACTGAATTATCACCAGAAGAAATTTATTAATAAGCGAACACTACAACAACGTTTGCACCCTAACAAGAAATCTTCGATGTTTGTTTACATCGCACGATAAATTGTTAATCTTTGCCATAATTCACCGCGAAACATGATAAAAAGCCAAATATTGTAACCCATCCAGAAGCCAGTGACGTCACGGTAAACTTTTCCGTACACCTTTGGCGTGTGTCTGTACATAATTGTGACGATACTTTTTTTGGAAAACGAAATTCAAAAATTACGGATAAAGTGCGTTAAAATTACCGGCTGAAATGAAAGAAAAAAAAAAAAAAAAAAAAAAAAACGATAAAATCAGTTTTTAAGATTAGCAAGTGTATCAGTTAAAAAATAGTTTAGAATTTAATAAAGCATGAATTTTTGTTTTAATGTATGTAATTTGCTAAATATAAAATTCATTTGGTACTTACGTATTAACGTAACCAGACCAAAATTCGCATAAATCGCCAAATTTGGCGACCCTACTTACGGCAACCCTACGTGTTTAGACGAAAGTTTATTTGTAAAAAGAAAAAATAACACTGGGCGTGTACTACCACAGCAATGGGTTTTCAACGGAATTTGCCGAGAAAAGAAAGAGACTTTTTTGGTCTGTACCTAACAGAAGCGCCGTTACCCTCATGGAAAAAATTTTCGAAAATATCAAGCAAGGAAGCATCATTTATTCGGATTCCTGGAAAGGATACAAGTGAGTTTGAAAATGCTGGATTTCTGCATGGAACTGTTAATCACAAATATAACTTTGTGGATCCCAACACGGGCGCTCACACACAACATGTAGAGCGCATGTGGGGCTCAGCCAAATGGCGCAACAAAAAACAGAGAGGAACAGCCCGTCATCATCTTGACTCATACCTTATCGAATTTATATGGCAAAAGATTTCCGCCGAAAAAATAATTCTGCAACTTATTCAAATTCGAAAGCGGAAGGGTTTAAAGGGCGACTGGGGTTTTTAGGGAATAGTCGCAAAATCCTGGGTATGGAGAGTCATCATCCACAACCCTTTTAGTTCGGGCACCACTATAAAGACATTAGGATTTTTTTTTTTTTTTTGGAGGCCGGAGAAATGAAAAATTAGCAACCGCCTTCGCTGGGAATCGAACCGCGGACCTCTGGAATACCGGCCCAGCGTGCAGAAGCACCACACCACGAAGGCACGCTAGGAAGGCGGGAGAAATACCTTATA